GGAGGAGACCTCCTGCAGCTCTGACTGTCACACTCCAAACTGTCTCCGGCCTCCTGCCCCTGCCCCTCACCTCAGTCCTCTCCGTGTCCTTTCTGCTGGTTGATCTTAAGGTTGCTGCTCACCCTGCCCCCACCCGTCTTTGGAAGCTAAGCCCCAAGCTTCCTCCTCCAGGGGGCCTTCTGTGATTTCTAGGGACTAACTTACGGTGCTAAGCCCTTTATGGAGTTCTTAGGACTCCTTCTGTTCTGCCCAGGTGCACCTGGGTACTGGGGTGACAAAGAAGAGGGTGATGGCCCAGGGACTGTCCTCCTCTCCAGGAAGCAGCAGGGGTTACTTGAAGGTCAAAGCCAGGCGCAGAGTGTGTGTGCTCATCAGTGCCTGGGACCAAGGTGCACTGGAGCAGAGTCAGGGGACCGCAGAGGCCTTCCTCCTCCCCCACCCTCTCTTCTCCCAGGCTGTGAGCCTGAATCTCCTCCCATCCCAGGCATCGTGCGGGAGTGGGCGGCAGCGGTGCAAGTGATGGGGAGAGATAGGCTAGCCCAGGCCTCCCCTCCCCCCTTGCATTTTAAGTGACAGGATTATAAACAGCTGCCATAGGCAAGAGAGTTGGCAGCCAAATGCCAGAGGGGGGTGGCATGAGGAGCACTCTGGCCCACCCGAGCTCAGGCCTGGGCCTCGGGTGATAAGACCTGGCTAGCCTTGCCCGTGTGCTGTGCAGTCTGGGCTGAGTGACTTGGCTTCTCTGAGCCTCCAGAAGCACCATCTGAAGGTGGGAGAGTTTCCTTGTCCCTGGGCTCCTGGGCGTCACCTTGGAGGACTTAGCCACAGGGCCAGCAGCATGGCCCAGGGTGACAGTCCAGGGTGGTGGCAAAACCTAGCTTCCAATCCTGGCTCTGCACGTTGAGCCAGCCACTTCCTCCTCTACACCTCATCTTCCCTTTGGAAACACGGCTGTTGGGTACCAATGTGGAAATGCTCTGGAGTCCCAGGTCACACAGACTGACCAGGGATTCTCCTGAAATCCAGGTCCAAGTCTGCCCCTAGGGGGCGCTGGTGTCATAGGCCGGGTAGAAATGCTAAGGGCCGGTGGGGGAGTCCCCCCAGGAGTGGGAGAGGCTAGGAAGGGGCAGCAGGGGGTGGAGGAGGGCTGGACAGCATGCAGACATCCCCATGGGTACGTGCACAGACAGTCCTGCAGGGACTTGGAGGAGCCCGGAGACCTCAAGAAACCCACGTGGAGAAGTACATTCTCTACCTCTTCCCCAGCTCCGCTCGTTGGTGTATGCAGGGGCCCCTGACCACTCTGGGCTCCACTCTGCACCTTCATCCACCCTGTTCCATCCTGGGTGAGCGCCTCTCACTTTGGTGGTCACGGTGGCCTTCCTACCTCCACCTAGCTGCCTGAGCCAATTGCATCTGCTTTCCAGGCAGTGTCAGACCTCCAATGGCCTGCCCCCCCCCCAACTTAGTTACTCTTTCAGCGCAGGAGGCTCACAAGATCACCCCTCCACTGAGATTCCTTGCAAGCCCAGGACACCCCCAGGGGTCCTCCCCACACTTGCTCCCCACCAGACGAGGCAACTGTAGATCTCAGCTTCAGTCAAACACAGCCTCTTCCAGGAAGCCCTCTGTGGGGCTCCATGCCTTGGCACCCCAGGGACAAGGTGTCATTCACTGTACCGCAGCTTTGCCTACATCGCACTATTGCCCTTAGGGCTGGGCTGTTACTTCCTGATTCTCAGGGATCCACACAGCCTGGGGACACCTCAGGGACTGCTCACCAACACTGCCTGAATGCAGAAAGAAGGCATGAATGTTGGGGAACAGGGGTGTGAAATAAAGACCTGGCGAATGCTCTGCTCTTCAGGCTGGAGATGTTCAGGACTGGGGAAGCACCAGGCTGGGCGGGAGTGGGGACCACTGGACCTCAAGCCCGCCCTCCTCCTCGACCTGCCTCCCTGGTGACCTCTGAGGAATCTCCTGGACCGGCTCGGCCCCTCCCTAAAGCAGAGGCAGCACAGGCGTGTACAGGTTGGTTTATTTACAAATATACCGACGTCTCGTCTTCGCTCGCTTGCTGCTTCCGTTTTCTGCTCTTGTGGGAAGAGGCGGAGGTGAGAGCGGAAGGCAGGGTGAGAGTGGTAAACGCTAATAAATAATTTAACAATGACAAGTTATTAAATAAAATGTGTGTGGGGATGGCGGTGGCAGTGAGAGTCTGTACAAGGGAAGCGGAGAAGTGTGGGGCCTGGTCCTGCGTGCGCCCAGCCCTGTGCTGGTTGGCGGTGTCACCGTCCAACGGTCAGCACGTTGGGGGGGGCCTTTCCATTCCCCTGGCCTCAGATGACTGTGAGTGTGGGTCTGTGAGCCTCCAGGCGTGGCAGGTATGAGTGTGTGTGTGTGTGTGTGCGCGCGCACAGGAAGCTCCTTCCATGGTAGGCAGAGCAGGTGTGGCCTCTCCTCCTAAGGCTCTGCTGACCCCTTGGTCTGACCCTCACGGGCACATGGTGCTTGTCTCTGCAGCATCTGTGAGGTCCTGGGACAGCAGAGCCGCTGGCCGGGACAAAGCCTGGCCTCGTGTCCTTCCTCTACCATTCCACTGTCTGCATTTGGTGTCCCCATCAGGGCCATGGGGCTTGGCTTCTCATCACAGTTCCCCAGCCCACCTCTCTCCTGCCTCTTCCTGTGGAGACCAGAGCTCCTCCCTCTTCCCCTGGCTCCACCCCAGCCCCACAGTAGAGGGGTTACCATCAGGGCAGGCATAGGGTGAGCCTGGCTCCTCCTGCACTTCCTCCAGGAAGCAGGGGAACCTGGGCCTGCCCCAAGCTCTCCACAGCCTCTCTTCCGTGAGCCTTGGGCTCTGCACCTGAGAAATGGGTCTCTAACGACATCTGGCCAGGCCTGGGACAGAGCTTTGGCCTCTCCTAGGGGGACAGCACTTGTCTTGCTGGACTGTGTCCCCACTCTTGGCCAGGCCCGGGAGCACAGCTAACAGGTGCCTCTATATAGGGGCTCTCTGGGGTCCTGCAGTTCTGACAACCTGGGGGTCATGGCACAGGTGTCCCAATACCAGCTCTTGGCTGGAACTCCTACATGGAGGCAGCAAAGGCCAGCGCTGCACTTGGAGTTAGGACCTAAAAGAGAGGAGGGATGGGCGTGGCATCCCTGTTTCAGCTCCAGCCCTGTCCCTAGCTTATCCTCTCCTGGACTCCCAGCTGTGCCCCATAGGTGGGGCCTAAAGGGCCAGGTCTCCTGGGGGCTGGGGTGTCTGCCCTGGGGGCTGTCCCATGTCCCCAGCCCAACTCAGCTTGAGCCTGTGCTAAAGGAGAAAGAGGAGGGTCTCAGGAGTCCCAGGTCTGGCCCAGAGGACAGAGGACATCAGCTGAAGCTCCTGGCCACATTCTGTGTGATGAGAGAAGCATAGGACGGCCTGGCTGGCTGCTGGGGCCACACCCTCCCCTTTTGACAACTCTGGTGGCAGGCAGGATGGGGTGAGCATGGGCCTGGGACCTGGGGTAGGTGTGCAGGCTGCCCTGGGGAGGAGCCAGGCTGAGCTACAGGCTGGGGCCTGCGAGATGCTGTTCGCCCTGAAGTGCTCAAAGGCGAAGCCCAGCAGACTCAGCTGTGGCCTACAGCTGGACCTGGACGTTAGTGTAGGGTCATGCGCACCCAGAAGGGGCACAGAGATTAGCGGCCGCAATGTGGGGTCACTGGGACAGGCTGCCAGCTGCCCACTTCCTTTTTTGGCAGGGGAAAATGGAGGAAGGATGGACAGCGTCTGTAGCCCTTGTGGTCCAGGGAGTCCTCAGGCCAAGGCCAATGCCAGGCAGCAAGAGGCTCCCACTGCCCCACATCTCAGGGGAGACAAGTGCCAGTTCCACACCTGAAGTGAGGACCAGTGGTGACAGAGCTGGGGCCATGGCCTGATGGAACTGAGTAAGGAAACACAATGGCAAATAAGCCATGGTCCTTCCCTCCCCTTTATCTACACACAAAAAGGAGGGGCAGCACAGCCATCACTCCAGTCCTAGGCCTGGGGAGCTCATGATAGAAGGGAAGAATAAGTTTCCAAGGTCATGTGGCCCAAACCTTTCACTGGATCTCTGGCCATGTTAACAGAGGCAGGGCACCTAAAGCAGAGGAGGTGATGGGGCTGCTCTTTGTGGGCTGGGTGTCAGTGGGAAAATCGGATGATCGCCGCTGCTGTCTTTAGAGAAGTTGGAATCCAGTTAGGGACACAGTTTCCAGAGGAAGAGCTGGAGAGCTGGGGAGGCTTGGCTTTGAGAAGCAGGATGGAGAGCCGCTGACCTGGGGCTCACTGAGGCAGGGAGTGACCTGTCACAGAAGGCAGCTTAAAGAGAGCCAAGGGGCTGACTCTGCAAGTCCTTTCCTACCCAGAGGTTCTGCTATTGGCCTGATTCTGCTGTGTCTCGGGGCTTCAACTCGGTCCTGAGAGCTAGAGTCTGGGGCTGCCCTCCCCACTCAGGGAGCTCCAGTGGGTGGAAGCTGGGACACACCCACACCCGCAGGCTTCTCATGTGCCCTGCTGTCCCCTCCTTCCTGCCCAGCTGCCCTCTCAGCTTCTGTTCCCTTCCTGATGTGGCTGGGTGTCACAGAACACCCTCTGCCTTCCTCAGCTCTCGACATGTGCACATGCACACGTGCATGTGGTGTGTGTGCATACATGGGTTGCGTGTGTCGGGGGGGGCTGCAGGCGTGCGTGAGTCTCTGTCCCTGGGGGCCTGTCTGGGCTCTGTCCACTCCCCTTCACTTCAGGCAGAGCCCTGATAGCCTGCCCCATCTGCCCCAGCTCCTCCCCTTCTGCTCCATGCTCCCGCTAGGAGGGCAGGCCATCCTGGGCTCCCCAGAGCGGGACACAGGAGTCGGCGCAGGGCACCGGGACAATGCTCCTCAGGTCCCAGGCACCGGGTCCCATTACTGTCGTGGGCTGGCACCAGGGACCACGGAGGTTGGCTGGACACAGAGAGGACATTTAAAAAAATAGAGAGAATTTAAGCTTCCCAAAAAAGAGAGGGAGGGAGGGAGAAGGAGGCAATGGCATCGAGGTGGGGCTGGAGGCGAGTGGCTGTCCCAGAGCTCTGGGTCCCCAGGATGACAAGGTCTCTGCGGGCAGGACACAGCCCCTGCCCAGGCTGCACCCATCTGCTTTTCTGGCGGGGCCCAGCGGGCACTCGAGGCCCAGTTGACCAAGGGGAGGGCACCATATGGCTGTCTGCAGAGTCCGTGTGGGCGGCGGGCCGGAGGTGGGGAGGCAGTGGGGCCCCAAGTCCCAGCCCAGGCTGGGCCCAAGCGTCCGTGAAGCCCGGCTGCTCTCAGGAGGCGAAGTAGGAACTCTGCATGGAGTAGAGCCGGTCGATGGGGTTCCCCACGCGGGCCTGCAGGGAGCCCACATCTGAGGAGCCAAGGAAGCAGTCGCTGAGGCTGGTGAGGGAGGTATCGCTGTCGATGTCGTGGAAGATGGAGTCGTTCCCTGGGGAGCAGAGGAGCGTCAGGCCTGGGCTCCAAGCTGGGGCTCCTGAGGGATGGCCGGTGGCCGGCGACAAGCAGGAGCGGGACCTACTGGGGTCCTGGGGCAGCGAGCCGGTGGCTGCCAGGCAGGGGTGGGCAGGGCTGGCAGTGAGGGGCAGGCGGCTTACCATAGGGGTTCATGTGGTCACCTGGCATTTGGGGCGGCGTGAGGCCCTGCTGGAAGGGGTCGCTGCTGCCGTAGGGGCTCTGTTCCATGGCTACAATCTGCTGCTGCGGCGGGGCCAGCGGCGTGTACGAAGCCATCATGCCCTCCATCCGGCTGGACAGAACCTCTGGGGACAGTGCACACCTTCACCAAATGGCCTACCTGCCCCATCTTGATGGTTCCCACAGATGTCCCCCAGCTTGGGGATCCCGTGTCACATTCTAGGGGATGCCCAAGGACCTGCCTCTGGCCAGGTGGCCCAGATATGCCACTCCCTCCCCAGATAGTCCCCTCGGCTCTTCTCCCAGACTGTTCCCCAAAGCCAAGGAAGCTCCACCTCTCCACCTCCTCTGCCTCAGGAGCCAGGCCTGCGGGAACCAGACATCTCGGCAGGCAGAGAAGCTGGACACAGAATGCCCAGCACCCAGGAGTGCCCAGGTGAGGTCAAATTCATGCCCAACAGACCCAGGAAGGCTTCCTGGAGGAGGGAGCCCCAACCCAGCAGGACCTCAGGTGCCACAGGGATGAGGTGTACCAGGCTGGGGAGAGGGAAACGTCCAGACAGGATCTGCAAGGCCAGCTGGGGACAGTGTGGGGAGTAGGCAGCTCGGGGAAGGTCTCTGCCAAGGTCATTTTAAGGAGCAGGTACAAAGGATGCCAGACACAAAGCCACACCCCGATTGGTGGCAGAGTAGGTGCAGCCAGGGAGGGAAGGGAAGGCCAGCACAATGCTGCCAGTGCACAGGCAGTGATACAGAAGTGTGGGTGGTGAGGAGCTCTAGGGCAGGGACATCGTCAGTGGCAATGTCTAGAGGCAGTGGGGCAGTGGCTGCAGCCCTGGGAGGGGACACAGAAGCACAGGGCTCCCAGGACTGTCTTTAGGAGCCGGGGCAGCTTAGGATGCTGGTCTGGTCCCAAAGTCCTCAAGGAAAAGGCTGCCCTTGTATCTGCCACCTGGTATGTGTGCAGGGTCCTTCTCATGGCGGGGAGGAGGGGCAGGACATGCAGCTCCTGCTCAGTTCAGGGTCCCCAGAGCCCAGGCATCCTCCCTTCATGACCTTAAGGGCTCAGTGCCCCATGAGCCCAGAGAACAGTGCTGACCTAAACTTGGATGTGGGCAAAGCCAAGGGTGCAGGGAAGGGCTGACCTGTCCTCTGCCTCCCGAGCTCCCCACTCTGACCAACTATCCCTGCAGGGTCACTAGCATTGACTTCTGTGGGAGTGAGGGTTGAAACCCCATTCTGGGGGCTGAGGCTGGGCTTGGTCCCTGGTAGCTCAACACCCCCTTATGTCCTGGGGCCTCAACTCCCCGTGCTGCCAGGCCAGGCTTTTCTGGTGGGATGCACAGGAGCTGAGTTGGGCAGAGCATAGGAGACGTGAGCAATGCCCAGTTCGGTGGGCAGGGAGAAGGGCAGAGGTTACCCTTCTGGCCTGGTGGGCTGCCCCACCATCTCATCCCTGCTTTCCTGGGCCCCATCACTTCTCAGGTTCTCTGCACTTCAGCTGCTTCCAGGGTGGAAGCCCCTGCACTGTTTTTGGGGGTCCTGTGGCCTAGACCTGGCAGAGTCCCCGCTGTGCCCGCTCACCTTGGCCCAGCCGCTGGGAGTTCTGCTGCTCCTGCTGCTGCTGGTGCCGCCTGGCCAGCTTCTTCATCTGCAGGGGGAGTATGGGTTAGGCCTCTGTCCCCGTCCTCTACATTAGGACCTGTCTTCTGCCTCCCGGAACCCCAACCCAGCCCAGCAGCCTCTCACCTTTGCTCTTTGGTTCTGAAACCAGACCTGGACCACACGCACACTGAGGCCCGTTTCGGCCGCCAGCGTCTCCCGGACCTGGTGCAGAAAGAGGGGGACAGGTCAGGCCTGCAGGGACATCAGCTGGAAGGCGCAGCCTTGTCCCCAGCAAGTCAGGTGGGTGGCACCTGGACAGGCAGCCCTATGTCCCTCACCTTCCGGCAAGGCTTGGAGGAGACCTCAAAGGAGGCCTTGAAGGCTCTTCGCTGCTGCGTGGTGAGGATGGTCCGAGGTCGCTTGGGCCGCCGCGGGTCCTTCCCGTCGTCCCCACTGCCCTTGCTCTGGCCGCCCTGCCCCTTAGCTGGCTTCATGTCTCCATCTTCATCCTCACTCTTCACTGTAGGGGACACGACCTGGCCTGTCAGGGAGGGCTAAGGGGCCAGTCCAAGTCCCAGCCTTGTACCCTTACAGGATCCCATTGCCCTTGACACCTACTGTGACTCTCTTGTGCCCAGGGAGTGTCTGCCCCTTCCTGTCACCCAGCCTGCAAGCCCCACTTGGTCTGGCCTTTTTCTCCTGTACCCCAGACCCCGCACATCTCCCAGCACACACACTCCTTGAGTCTCATCCTGTCCCTGTCAGCCATACAGGCACACCCTGGCAACTGCAGCCCAAGAGCACACAGTACATGTGCCTTTGCACACTTGTACTCATGCATCAGGCTGAGCACAGGCTCACACTGGAACAAGTATGAAGTGCACGTGTGGCTGCACACATGCAGGCATGTGTGGTGCCCGAGGCCATGTCCAGAGCACATCTGTGCCAGTGCTGGCCTTGGGCTTCCCCAGACCCTCGTGTCTGGCACTTTGCCAAAGGGTGACCTTGGCACTTGGAGACCCTACCACGGTGTGCCAGACTTTGAAGAAGTCTCCCTGGTGCTCGCCCAGTGCCGGGGAGGGGGATGGGACCACAGGAGATGCCAGGAGCCTTCTTTCTTCAAGCTTCGAGAGACTGAGCACTGACAGGCAAAGACAGATGCCCGAGACATCTGTGCGCACACACACAGCGGCAGGCTGGCACGTGGGCCCTGAAGCCTCAAGTATAGAGCTCAGAGAGGTGTTCACCAACACAGGCACCTAAGGCTCACACTCCTGGGCAGAGGCACACGGCTGTGGTGCATCTGCACAGGGCCACACATGCGGCCGGGAGAAGCACGTGTGCTCACTCTGCAGCACGTCCCCTTGGGACTCCTGCCCACTGCAGACCTCCTCCAAAGTGGTGCAGATCTCGTCCTTCTCTCTCCAGGCCTGCTGTCCTCAGAGACGAGACCCTCAGAGGGGTGTCTCCCTCTCTACACCTGGCATAAGCAGGCAAGAGAAATTCAGGCATCACGGGACCAGCCATGGTGATGCCCTGCCCAGGGCCAGAGGGAGGACAGTTCACTGCTGCCACCCAGGCTCTGGGAGGGACCGAGCTTTCCTGCACAAGCAGATCCTGGGACTGTGGGTCCAGCATACCCCACAGGGCTGCCTGGGGCATCTCCCACCATTCCTGCTCTAGTCCTTCCCTACTATGCCCAGGAATAGCCAGGTACCTGCCACCCCCAGCCTCTCCCAGGGAACAAATGTGTGTATATGCATGTGTGTGTATACACCACAGTACACGTGAGAATGTGTACAAGCATACACACACATCCCATGAGTAAGCAGGGTCCCCTGTGTGTGTCCAAGGGTGTGGGCACCATGTGTGTGTGTCCAAGGGGGCCTTTGCATCGGTACATAAGAACACACCTAGTCCTGCGTATGTGTGCATGTGCATCCCTGCGAGGGTGTGTATGGGCCTGTGTGTGCTTCGGGGCTAGCGGCCAGGGAGGGGTGTGCTCTGAGCGCGGGGCGCGGCACGCAGGCCCACGCCAGCCCCAGAGCGCGTGGATGGCGATGTGCCTACAGGCCGCGTGGGCGCAGGTGCTGTGTGCACCGCGGGCCCCTGCTCAGGAGCTGGACAGCCCCTCCAGCCACAGCGCCCGAGCCGGGCTCACCAGAGTCGGATTCATCCGGGCTCACGGAGCTCAGCAAGTCCTTCTCCTTCTCGTAGTCGCCCTTGCACAGCAGCTGGCCCTCCTTGAGCACGAACTCGTCGCCCTTGCGCAGCTGCCGCTCGCACACGCAGCAGCAGAAGCAGCCCAGGTGGTACACGCACTCCAGCGCCCGCATCACGAACTCGGTGGGCGCGATCTTCTCCATGCAGCCGCTGCATTTGGCTGCGAAGAGCCTGTGTGCGCAAAGCAGGCACGTGGGCTGGGCCCGGGGACCTCTCGCCCTTGCCACCCTGACCCTCCCACCTAAGGCGGCTTGCCCCTTAGCCCTTTAGGTGGGAAAGGGGCTTAACCCCATTCCGCATCCTGGAAGTCCCGCAGCCCAGGGACCCCGGGCCAGAGGTGTCTACGGTGGTCAGCGCAGGGCCCTTCCCGCTCAGGGGCACATGACCGCCAGGGGGCACTGCAGGGTCACACCCACCGCCCGCAGGGCCAGGTTGGCTAGAGAAGAAGGGCCGTCCCCTTCCACCTGTTCAAGGGCCTCTACTCCTCAGGCCACTTCCAAGCCCTCCCCGGTGCTGTCTAACCTCCAGATCAGGCCCCTCCTCCCGGGCCTAAGCAGGCCCCGCAAGCCTGTCGCCAGCCTCCAGCACCCTCTAACCCTTCAACTCTCTTCCACCCTCACCAACACATGATCTTCCTGAAGCCCGCATCTGATGTGCTCCTTCCCTGCCCCAGAATCCTCCATGTCTCCCTAGCGTCCCTGGGACAACATCCAAGCTCCCGACCCTGGCACTAAGGGTCCCCCAGGATCTTCCTCCCCTCCTCCACTCACCCACCCTCTGCTCCCCAGCTGCAGCCCCATAGAACAGCTGTAGTTTCTTCAAAGCACCATCACGGCGGCCTTTTGACATGTGCTGTCCTTGTGGCTTTTTATTTTTAGTTTTGCAGTATTAGGGACTGAGCCCAGGGCCTTGTCACGGAGCAACACCCCAGCTCTTGATTCTTTTAAAGTCAGGGTCTCATGAAGTTGTCCAGGATGGGCTCAAATTTTGTATCCTGGGCCGGGGAGACAGCTCAGTAGAATAAGTGCTTGCCTGGAAAGCGCAAGGGCCTGAGTTCAATCAGTGGTTCCTGAAAAAACAAACCCCCAATTTTTATTTATTTATTTATTTATTTATTTATTTTTGTGGAACCGGGGATTGAACTCAGGCCCTTGAACTTGCCAGGGAAGCACTTATTCCACCGAGCCATCTCCCCCCGGCCCCAGGATGGGTCTTCTCATCCCTCTTTTAACCTGGGCACCATCCCCTGGAGCAGACAGTTTCCCAAGCACTGGACTTAGGAAGCAAGGGCTGCTGTAGCCGCCATCCGCTACAACGGTAGGAGACAGGGAGAGCCTTAGCCCCATTTTAGAGATGAGGACGTGGAGGCGCCCCGGAGGAGCATTGGTGCTCAGAGCCATAAGGGCCTGGTGCGGATCCACGGGAGCCTGCGGCTTGGGCTCGGCTCGGGCCGCCCCGCCCCGCCCCGCGGTGTGCGCGCAGGCAGGCAGGTGCACGGGGTCGCGCAGCCCCCCCCGCCCGTGTGCGCGCACGCTGACCGCTCCTCCCAGCGCGGGCCCTCCCAGTCACGCGCCCCGCTCAGTGGGAACTCAGCCTCAACAACACTTTGATGGAAAAATTTATGAAGAATCAAATTATTGCTGCTGGGAGGGAATTAAAACCATTTTTCATTCTCTGCGTCCCCGGGCCACGTCTGCGGGCGCCACCTTGGGAGCGCCGCGCGCATCCCATCCCTCTTTATGGCCCGCCATCACAGGCGCAGATTACAGCTGCAATTCTCCACTAATCGGTTCTGGAACAGGAAAGGCCATAAACGCGAGGCTCTCGGCCTGCTTGCCTTCCCCGGGCTGCCATCAGCACCGCCCACGGTGAGCGGCTGGGGTGCGGTGGACAGGCTGAGCCCAGCTCTGCCCGCCGCCCACGCTGGCCAGGGCACTCAACCTGGGGGCACCTTCAGTGACCCCTGACACCTCTGTTCTACCTGGCAGGCTCCTACTCATCCTGCAATGGCCCAACTCCAGTGCCACCTCCTCTGGGAAGCCTCCTCTGATGTTCCAGTCTGGGGAGGCCTCTGGCCTCAGTTTGCCTACTGCAAAATGGACACAGAACAGGATGCCTCTCGGAGGCTGTGATGAAACTGAGAGCAGAATTCCATGGAAATCACTGTGGGGTTCCCAGGCAGGGTCCAGTGTGGCTCAGTTCTTCTGGGATCCCACAGGCAGGACCTGGCCCTGCCCGATGCTCGAGCAGACCTATCTGTGCAGGTAGGGAGCAGGTGAGCCAAGTCTCCAGGGTGCTGAGCCTCAGGCCAGACTGTGCTCAAGGCAGCAGGACCCCTCTGGCCCACATGGCAGGCACATGGCTTTGCAAGGGGAACAGGGGCTTCTAGATTTCAGCTCTGATTTGGCCGTTGGTTGTGTATTTTTGTTCAGGTCACAACCTGCCCAACTGTCCATGGCAGCTGCAGGCAGAGGCCCCAAGGATTCCCGACGAGCCATCCAGCTGCGCTGAGGATTTGCTGCTTGGCCATGGAGCACATTCCCGCCTTGTCCCCTCACTGCCCCCGTGTGCCCGACCCCATGAAGTCCAGCTTGGCCTTGAGCAGGCAGGACAGGGCCAGCGTCCCTGGCTAGGGTCAGCACATCTCAGGTGTCTCCCGGAGAGGACAGCTTCTCTGGCTGCAGAGGGGGCAGCGGGTGGTGACTGCTTTTGCGGTGGACTCATGGCGGTGCTGGCTGTGCTCAGAACAGCCACGCTAATGCCTTGGCAGCAGGGGGTCGATTGCTACTTTCTCCAAACTCATCAACACAATCTATTATTAATACTTCTCCAAAGGCTCGGTGCCGCCGTTAGAAGGCAGCGCCAGCCACTCGGGGCGTCATCTGTTATCTAGATTGCAAAAACCCGGGAAATAAAACAAACGGCGCACACTTTATAAACGGAATGCGCCATCCGTTTGGTCTCCAAGCATCTCTCAACCCAATAAAACATCGGGGGGGACGCATGAAATACTCGCTCCCAGTTATGGGGCTGTCTTTGTGTACCATGCAGGGTGGGGCAAGAACTAACGGGTGTAGGAACAGCTGGGGCGCTGGCAGGTCCCCTCCTCTCTTTATTCCCTCCAGCCATGGGCACCAGCCATTGGAGTTAGGCTCGCTTCCCCCACTTGCAGCAAGGGATCCCCCTCTCTAGGCCTCAACTTACTTATCTGTATAATGGGCTCAACCCCACTGCTTGCTTCTTAGCACATGGGGCAGGGAGTTGTGGCCAGCAGTGAGGGCACAGACTGGGCTTCAATCCTGGCTCTGTAATGTGTGTGTGTGTGGGGGGGGAGTGGGGCTAGGGGTGTGTGCACACACACGGTGTCTGGGGTTCAAACACAGGGCCTCGCACATCATTAGACATGTGCTCTACCACTGAGCTACACCTCCTGGCTCCATAACTCTCTTGCCATGTGACTTCAGGCAGACATTTAGCCTCTCTGCACCTCAAATTCTTAAACTATAAAATGGGAATGATGGAGGTGACAGGTGGAGGTCTAGGGAAAGACTGGGTTCATTTAAAGCCTCCAGCAGTACATGGACATGAGGAAGGGTTCCACCAAAATCAGCCCTTCCACCCTCTTCTGCCCGACATGTCTAGAATACCATGGGATTCCCCCTTGCTGGGCGCACCATGGTTGGCAGGTCCCACATGGCCTCCCTCCTGGAACTGCCTGGGCTCTGGGCTGCTCCAGCTCATGCCCAGGGCCTGACCTGTCGATCTCCTTAACCTTACCAACCAGGTGCCAAGCGTACCCAGCCAGCTCGGCCTGTGGCCCGCATCACAGCCTCGCTGACCCAGGAAGGAGGCCACTCCTGCAGCCTATTTTACAGAGGAGCACACTGAGAATCGGGTGGCGGCTACTCGTCTAAGGCCACACATGGCACCCTAGGGGCTGCCCCTGCCCTGTGGACGCGGGTGTACCCTGCACCTTGGCCACAGTGCCACCTGCACAGTGTCTGCCCACACCAAATGCCTCTACCTACATACACACCTTCATCTTTCCCTCCTGGTGGGATCCTCTGTGACTACAGAGTAGGAAATTCCACGTGTAGGGACATCCCTCCCTCAAAGGGCCCAGCTGCCTGGACACATCTCTAGTGCCTCTTGCTTTTTAATTGCTTTGTTAAAGTTTCAATTTATTAAACTCATTAGGCCAATGAACAAAATTCCAAAAACTAAGTTTTTCAGGAGCATCTGAAATATGAGAAATTTCTCCCAAATCACAGACAGCTGCAGAGAAGCTGGGACACGGCTGATCCTGCTTCCTGCTGCCACCCCAGGGTGACTTCCTGATGCTGGAGGGCACGCCAGCCTCTCCTCTCCAAGCAGACCTTCCTCTAACACTAGGCATCCAGCCACTCCACACCAGGCTCAGGGTCCTGGGTGTGTCACTTCCTAGAACTGAAACCTTGCTGAGTCCCTTTGCCTCCTGTGCCTTAGTGATCCTGTCTGTCCAGGGGGGAGAAGGACAGAGGTTGTCTGATGGGCTGGGCTCAGTTTATGGGAAACAGGATTGCCATTAATTCCTGGGACCTTGCTAAGTGGAAGCTCCCCTAGCACCTCCTCAGTGTCCTGCCATCTGCATACCCCATGGCTGCACTTTACAGTTGGTACAGTCCTCTCTTGGGCTCTCACTCCATGTTCACCCTCTACTCACAGTGGACCTGCTCCACCCCTGCTGACAAGCCTCAGGGGGATTCCCAGCCTCCTCTGCCTCCATAACCGTGACGCTACTCCTACGCACTGAGCCACATCACGCTTGTTTTGTAAAGAAGGTTTAGGGAGAAGCAGTCAGAGCACAGTACCGTCTCCTTGCAATGGCATGAAAGTGTCCCCCAGGCTTCCCGTGCTCAGGGTTTGGGTGCCAGCCTGTGCTCCTCTTTGGAAGGCGCGTGGAATGTCTAGGAGGCAGGGCCTCTCACGAAGAATTCAAGTTACTGGGGGCGTGTCCTCAATGGGCCATTGGGACCCTGCCCCTCTTTCCTTTCTTTCTGTCTCCTAACTGCTGTGAGGAGCACCTCTGCCCTGCAGTGACAGCCCCATGGGCAGAAACCTCTGGCACTGAGAGCTGCTCTTATCAGGTGACTGATTTTGTCATAGCGATAGAGAGCTGACAAACACTCCTC